TAGCAGATGTTTATAAGCAAAATTTAAGGCGAATAATTCAAGTTTATACAATCAAATTTAAAATAAATTACATTAAGTGCTTTATTCGCATATTATTCACGCCGTAGTTAATTACACATAGATTTTATATAGTTTTCCTGATAATTTCAAATTAAATTCTCTATAATTTTTAATTTTTCAAATTATAAAATTATTTTAGAATATTTTATGCAGTGTTGTATTTGCAATATTTTATTCCATATTATTTAAAAGGGAATGCGCTATTGAATCACAAATTTAATTTCCAAATAGAAATTTATATTATAATATTGCAGTAGAATGAGGTCCCCTACCCAAGGAACAATCTATATTTTTATTCCCTGCCTATATAAATTCAAAATTAATTTTAAATTTTCATTTCTTATTTCTACTTTCATTATACTTGAAATTTAGTAAAATTTTTCACATGAATCAGTCAAAATAAATGTACGTATTGGCAAGTTCCCGAAAAACGTTACAAATTTTCGATGTTCTAGAGAAACACATAATTTTGACCGATATTAAGGGAAAATTAAGGCATGAAATAATGTTCGAGAATTTTTGTTTTGAATAAGAATTCGGATGACAAATTACAATAAAATCCAATAAAGTCTATAAACAATGTTGAATGAATTATGAAGTAAATCTAGACTAGAGACTAGAGCAAATGTATAAACCAAAGTTAAATTTCTGGAATTGGATTATCTAAAAACAATATTTCACATTTAGGCAGATAGCAAAAAACAGTCGATCCGTTTCTACCATATAAGTACTTTATTTATTTTTAACGCAACATCCTATTAAACAGGCATGTGATAATAGTTTTTGTTTTTTAAATTACTTTCTTCTTCTTATTCAATTTGTTAATCTCTTAAAAACAAAAAATACAATGACGTAATTTTCTTCCTCCCAAATTCACATTAATTTTGGAATTGTATACAAAATCCAAATTTTCATTAGTACATTTAAATTATAATAATTATATTTTATAAAAAATAATAAAATTAATGAAAAAAAATTATTAATCATAATTTTTTAGTAATTAATTTTACTTATTATTATTTCGGTTAATTTTTAATATCTTTATCTCATTGTAGTAAGTCTGAATTAGTAATGACATTCCTAAAATTTCATGCTTGTTATTATTATACTGGCTCGTAAATACATCAAGGTTTTTGGATTTTTATCTTAAATATCTTAAAATATAGAACCAGAGAATCAACATTTTATTTTGACCTGTTTAAAGTTATTTTGCTTTAATAAATCAAAATTAAAATTTTAATTAAATTTTTTAAGTAATTTTGTTGGAAATATTAATAAGAGACCACAGAAATTCTGGTTAGCATAAAATTATATTGTGTACTTAAAGAATTTATAGACAGACGACTTAAATCTCATTAACATTTTGTTACATGTTGAACATAAATTGAACTTACATACGTAAGTAACCATTTGCTAATTAAATGTAATAGTATAGAGGCACATACACAATATTTTAGAACCTTTGTAATCTGAGAAAAAAGTGTATAAAAAAAATTATTTAAGTTAAAGTGATGAAAATCGTCTCCAGTTCTTTAAATTTTAAAAAGAGAATTAATATTTCAAAATTCTCACATAATTTTTCTCATTTTTTTTTTTGTTTGATGAGAACATTATAATCTAGATTTTATTTTAATGTGCACATTTCAAAAATATGAATCTTAAAATAAACATACAAATTATATATCAAACATAATAAAATTTTAGTATGCCAGTATGCATGAATTAAAATAAATTAATTAGAATTCAATGTTAAGGGTCACGTTTTAATGAAAGTAAATAACTTTTATTGAAAAATTTCTCATAATATTAGAATTGAAATTCTAATCCAGTAATCGTCGGTATATTGAACAATAGAGATTAATTAATGCTGGTTAAATCATTGACTTGTAAATTGGACCCTAGTTAAATGATCGACTATTTAATTGATGGCCAAAAAATCGGCTCGTTTATTATCGTTAACAGTCGTCAATTTATTAACTAGTAAATTGATCAACTAGGATAAAATGATCGCCGGTAAATTAATAACTGGCATGCTGACAAATTAACAAATTAAATAATAAAAAGAAATTATAGTAAATTTTTCAACTAGTAAATTTATTGTAGGTAAATTAATCGACCAACTGGCAATAGTCAGATCAGCTATAGTTTCTATATAGTATCCAAATACGATCGATTTACAGGCGGTCACTTTAGACATTAGATGTGAAATTTATAGACGCTTATTTTATAGCAAGCACTTCGAACACAAGATTTTCAATTGGAAATGAAAGTTCATACATTTCGCGAATAAAACCTCCTTCACAACTTGGATTTAATATTTAATATATTTGGGATTACCTTAATATCAAAGATACCGAAAAATTTGCATTATTAATCCAGTATTTTATTTATAATTAAACCAGTATGAATTTTATTGACATCACGCATATAAATTAATTCGAAAATCAAAATATTGTAGTCAGTCGTCACAAAATTTTACAAAATAAACTCTAGCAATACTCAAATGCCGAAAAATTTTCGATAGTGACGTTAAAACAGACCGTCGGTAAAAACAATAACCAAAGTATTTTCCCATTTTCGGTCATCAAAACCAAAACAAAAATAACGAGAGAAAGAAAGTTCAAAACAAAAAAAAGAAAATGTGGTGTGCGCGAAACTCTCATTTTTTGTGTAAATATTACGTTTTACCAGAGCATTTATTATTAATCGTCGTGATGATGACCAGTTTATTGAATCAAAGTTCATAGTATTGAATGCTGAGTATAAATCTAAAGAAACTTTTGTTATTGTGGGTTTTTCCAAACTTTTTTAACTCTGTTGTTTATCATTTCGTTGTTGTTTTTTTTTATGTTAATCTGTTTTTTAATAATTGTTGTAGCGTTTTGATAAAATTCTAGTTTGTATGTGAGTTTGCTTTGCCTTTTTTTAACTTAGATGATGGTAGAATTTTTTATTTGTTTGATTATTTCTTAATTAATTTAAATTTTTTTTTTATTATATTAAAGTGAAATTTAAACATATATATGTGTATGTATATTATAATATTAATAATTTAATAAAAATTAACATTTATATGTAAAAATTAATTAAAAATGTACGTCAATAATTATTTGGGTATAATCTAAAATTTATCTTTTATAGTATCTATGGAAAAATGTAATTGCGTATTCCTTATGATGCATTTTAATCTAAAATTTCAGCAAGTAAATTTTAAACTAGAAGCCTGACCTACTCCAAAATATTTAATATAATTTCAGTTGATACGCGAAGCGATATAATACGCGTGTAAGGTCATACGGGTTTTCAATATTAAAAAACGTAAAAAAATTCTTAACAATCTTTACAACATGAAAATATTTGATAATCTTTTTCTAACTACACCTGGCACTTTTTGACGTCTGCAGCCTCGTGTAATGGTCGAATTTTGAGAGACTTCTTGAGAAAAACTTTTAGAACTTTTGAATGTACTTAAGTGTACCTGACCATTGGCGCAGTAGTCACGGCACCGGTCCTTTAACCGAAGGGTCCCCGGTTAGGTCACTATAAAAATTATATTCAATATTACTTATAAAAATAACAAATTAGTATAAAAGTAATTTTCAAATATTCATAATAATCGGTATAAAATCTAAAAAAAAATAAATAAGCAGTAATAAAACTGAGGCATGACTATATATGATGTCATGCACTAGCCCTATGCTTTTTCTATGAGTGAAAAAAAAGTGTACAGGAACAGCTTTCCAAGAGGTTCTCAAATAGAAATTGCGGAGCTCCGCAAGACATTTTTGATAATATTTCACAGTTTACCTATATTCTATAGTTTTGTTTTTCTAGACTTTCTGCTAATTTTTTTCAGGGACCTACAGCACCGAAGCCCAAAATTGTTCGTGGTAAAAGTGAATAAAGCTCTTCAAGAACTTTTTTTCGGTGGCCGGCACATTCACATTAGGGATTTCCAGTTGTGCTTACAAAGGGATTCAAACGACTACCTGCAATACATTCCATGTTCTATATGTAAACCCTTCCAGAACTGCCTGTGTTTTTTATTATTAGTCATATTACATAATTAAAATTATAAATTATTAATTTATATTAAAATGTGATCACGTTTTTCCCACTTAATCTAAAGATGACTCCAATTAATGTAACTAGATTATTAAACAACTAAAACCCTACAAGAAAATATTGAATATAAACAGTACCCCCATAACAAAAATTTATACTTTGTCATGTTTATTATTAAAATAAAAAAAAAAATAATTTTATCACTACATTAATTTTCCAGAATTCAAAAGTTTGGAAAAACCCATAGAAGATAACCAAGATGTATAAAAATAGTACAAACAAAAAAAGAAAAGAAATGCACAACTTATAAAAACAAAAACACAAAAAAAAATTCTTCTTGGATTTTATGTTTAACCAACAGTATTCTTTAAAAAAAACCAAAACAAGAAGAATATTATAGAATACTGAGAGAAAGAATTAAAGAATCACCTTTAGAAATTCACAATTCAATAGATGACGAAACAGGTATGAGTAACTGAAATTTTCACCTTCCTGCTCTTCTTCATATAATATCACTTCACCATCATGATATTGTAATACCATAACGCAATACAATACCCACAATACCGGTATTTTCTTCTTCTTTTTGTGTATACGAGTAACGTATTGGTGCAAGAGCACTAAAATATTGTATTTTTGCTAAGAAAAAGAGAAAAGCTACAGCAATTCATTCAATCAACAAAATAACATTACGATTTTAAGTAAGGCTTCAAAATAAATTTTATTTTAAACAGTGGTGAATAACGAAAACTTCAACAAATTTCGAGAATTACCAACACATATGCAAATATATAAACTTTTTGAGTAATACTTTAATATGAAAAATTAAAAGTTTCTCGAGTATAAAATAAGTGTTAATTCGAAAATAGTAACAGTTAAAGTTTAACAACAGATAAGAAAGGTTATAATTAAAAATTATTGTTTAATTAAAATTTTAAAATTTTAAATTTTATAAATTAATTTCTAGAGTGTATAAAATAAAAAAAAAAATTTTAAATCAATTAAAAATGGTAATTTTTTAATAATATTATAAAAATTTTTGGTTTTATTTAAGAACTCTTGTTTGGTGAATATAGTGAGAGAAAATTTGTAATTAGAATTTTGATAACACGCACTACTCGAATAATTCAGTAGAGATCTTTAGTAAATAAATTATTTAAAATTCGTAGTAAAATTTTATTATTTCAAATGGTACGTGTTGTTCTAGTCTGATTTGTCGGAATTATTCTTACATACTTAAAATAAATGTAATTTCTTCTACTTCATCAATTATACAAAAAAGAAATTATATTTGGAATATTAAAAAATGTGAAACCGGGGATAAAGTATTCGTACTTTTTAAAAATCCAGAATTATTTTCAACATCAAGTCTTCAAACTAACTTGTTATCAAAAATTCTTTAAAAGAATGTGAGCTACTACAACATTTTTTCCAAATATGTGCTTATTACGTAACGATGATCGGATAAAAGACAAAAATCGGAACTCCAACCTACCTTGAAATTTTTTCTTACATAATTCTTCATTTCTGTATTTTTTTTTGGTTTTTGTTATTCGCACGCGGTCTTCGTTAGTCAGAAATGATTTTTACAATAATAATAAATTTTTTTTGGTTGTTACAAAAAAAAAAATGGTAAAAGTTTTGATATTTTTTTTTTTGTCGTTTCGAAATGACTTAACAAATTTTCAAAGTCAGTAGAATAAAGTAAAGTCACACAAAACAAAATCAAAAAAAAATTTGAAACAACAAAATTTTAAGGTTTCAATTTTTTTTGTATTTCCAAAACTAATTAGCCGACAAGACAAGATTATTAAAAACCAAAAAAAAAAACACCAAACCGAAAAAAAATGCAGTAATTACTTTTAAAATTATCAACTTTCGATTTTAATTTCATTTTTTGTACTTTTATTTCAGAACCCACAAAATACCAGTTTTTCTACTTCAACAATTCGATCACAAATTATTTTTGTAATATTTTGTGTATTAATTAATTGTTCCGTTTATGCTCAACGTGGCTCATATGCTGGCTCAAGAAACGGAAATGGTTATAAAAATCAACTTCGTCCATCAACTGAAGCTCCACAACAAGATATTGTTAGCCGTTTCGGTGAAGATTTAAATAGACCTCAAAGACCACCAATTTCTAATTCAAATATAGTACAACCAGCACCTAATTTTATACCAATAAATCAACAGCCAGTTATTGATCAAAATCCAGAACTTTCAAATAGAAATAGTGCTGATCGTTTACCATACGATGCTTTAGGTGATAGAGAACTTGTTGAACGTTTAAATCGTCTACCAGTTGATCAACGTCCATTTTGGTTAATTAATGCTGAAGCTATAGAAGCACATCGTAATCGTAGCGGATCTCAAGCAAATAATTTTAATTCTGTAGCGGTACGCGGTTCGTTTGCTGGTTCAGGTTTGACAAGTTCATCATTAAATAGTAATGGATTACAATTGCAACAACAACCAAAACCAAGACCAGAAGAATCAGTTATTTTGAGTAGAGTTGATCTTGATAGAACATCTGGTAGTAATCTAATTGATATAAATAGAAATATTCCACAACCAAGTAATAGAATAAGTAATTCATTAAATAATGAAATAGATTCACAAGGAGGACGTTTCATTTATGTTGGACCACAATTATATGATGCTTTAAGAAAAGCAAATTTAGTTATTTAATTTAAAAAAAAATTGCTTTTTAAAAGAAAAATGTATTAAGAAAATTAAGCTTTAAGAAGATACTTTTGATATCAAATTAGGAATAAGTTATAAAAAAATTGGAATTTATTGTGAGCACTTTTTGGTGCTTCAACTTTATTCAAGGTAATTTCTTGGTTAAAAGAAGAAAAATCCTAAAAATATGCAAACTATTTATTTGTTGATTATTTTTTAATTAAGTTTTTCTATAATAATTATTGTATTTATTTAGAGATATTAAAAACATATAAAGAATTTATTGTCTTAAAATTCCATGCGAATAATAAAAAACTACACTTAATTAAGAAAAAACTTTATTTTTCTTTATTTTTATAACTTTCATCCGAAAAACACTTATTGCGAAAATTTATAACTGCTAAGTATAAACAAAGAAATAAGCAAATTAACCTTGTTTTACATTTTGCAATTTAATTTTATGACACAAAAATATTTTTATGCACTAAAGAAATTTTAGAAGATGGAATTGGTTTTATTCGGGTGGATTTTCCAAGTGTTTTTAATTTAAATTGAATGTAAAAACTGAAGAATTGTATGAAAATTTTATTTGATTCCGCATAAATCAGTCCTTACCATTTGGTTTTATAAATATATTGACCACAACTATGTTTTACCATGTTTTAGGTGATTCAAAGGATTCAAGTTTGTTACCTTTTTTTCGCACACAGTTTTTCGACGGAAAGATAGCATAACCAAGACATCTAAAAGAAAATAATAGATTGCAAAAGTTTCTAAACCTGAAAAAAACTGCTTAATTAAGATTTGTTCAATCTTAAGAATTTGTGAATATTAATATTATCAACGTTCGAGCGTCAGTCTCTTTCGATAGTGTAAACTGAACAAAACAAGCTGAACCGGCCTCATACTGAGAATTTTAACAAACCCAGCTGGAATTAATTTCGAAACTAGACTGTAAAACAAGATTCATTTAATTAATGTACTTAAAATGTTTACACATGATAATAATAATAATTCTTTTGTTTTTAAGTGAGAAATACAATTTGAAAATAATTTCCGAATTGACGACTTTAAAAATATTTAGATAATTGAAAAATGTCAGGTTAAGAAAGAAGCACAAAAAAATTTTAAAAATTGTAGCTGTTCTTTATATTTCCAATAGTAAGGCCGGTAAATTGCAAGCAATCTTAACGACTTTGATTTTTCATAAGATAAGTTTACACTTAAGCTAGGTATATACTTACTAAATTTCTTATACCGAAAAGAAAAATTACAAAAATTAACAATTCATATGTATTAAAACCATACTCCTAATTCGTTTCTTTTTAGTTTACCTAATTAAAATATGATCAAATTAAATTACAAATGAATATAGCGTGCTTAAGATGGTAACTCTATATTCTAGTATTGAGAACAAACCGAATTTAATAATAGAGTATAGCAAAGTGAATCTATGCAGAGATGCTTAAAATATTAATTACAATCCCGTACTCTTACCATAAACAACTTTGTATCCACATTTAGTAATTTTAGTATACCCACTAACATAATTATTGTATATAGATAACATAAAATAAACAATATTTTTTACTGTAATCTTATAAAAAAATTATTGTCTATCACTAATTTATGTGTTTATACAATGTGCCTATATTCAAATCAGTGCCTAATCTATATAACTCCAAGCTACACCTAAAGTGGATTAAAGTTCTTCTTCAGTTAGATATTTTAATTAATAAATTAAATTTCTTATAAAAATTTGGTAGCTTGGCTCCCTTATACTATGTGCAGCAGTAGCATTTATATTTTATAATTATAAAAAATTATAAATTGACTTATCATTAATTTCCAATTAAAAAATCTCGTTTTTTTTCTTTTCCATTTTTTACAAAAACAAAATGGACAAAATATAATTAAAATAACTTTTAAGAATTAAAAAATAAATAATAAAAAAAAAAAAAAATACACGATTTTTAATTAAATTAAAAATTTATTATTGCTTATATAAAAAGAAACAATTGAATTTATTATAATTATTTCCTAAAGTATTGTACACATATTTATTCATACATCATATATATACATACATTATGGTCATACATACTGTACATTTTATTAAATATATGTATGTATAAGAATAAACGCGCAATTAATAATAATCTAAAAGTGTACTATACAATTATTTTCCTCCTTTGTTTAGTTTTTTATTTTTTTCTTTTAAAACCAGTCTTTCTTTTAATAATATTTTAATATACACTTTCAATATCCGAAGCCTCCATTCAAATAAGAACCACTTAGTCCTGGTTTTAATGTTGGTCTTCTCACTGTATTCACTCCATATATTGTTGGTAATTGTGGATATGGATATGGATTTTGTATTAAATATGGAACTTTATTTTGAGTATATGGATAATAACCAATACTATTTGGTACTTCAGGAATTTCATCACCACCAAAACGATTACTTAATGATGCTCCTGTATTTATTAATATTTTATCATTACCATCTGTTAAAATTGCTTGCTTATCAGAAAATTTTGTTGATTGAGGAAATGTTAATGTTTCACTAATCATTATGATTAAAAATCCCATTGTAAGGAAAATTGTTTTACAACCACAATTGAAATTTATTTTAGTCTTAAAATATGAAAATGAGTTAAAAAAAAATTAATTAATTAATTTTAAAATAAATTTATATTGTAATTAATTTTTATATATTTTACCATTTTTTAATTATGCTTAATATTTAATTGTTAAAAATGTGTGTGAAAAAATTTGTTTATTTTTTAATTTTTTTTTTTCAAAAATATTCGCTTCAAACACTCCGGATTTTTATTAAAACTTCAGGTTTGTTAACTTGAACTACACTATTTTATTATTTGAAATAATCTTCAATTATATATAGAGGAATTGTAATCTCAGTTTAATAAGATTTTTGTTGTTGTTTTTTTTTGCTATTTGTTAATTTTATTTTACGTCTGTACATTATTATGACGTTTCTTTTTTCACTTTGACTCATTGAAATTTCTTGATTATATGAGAAACAAAAACAAAATATTCTCATATTTTATATATAGTAAATCAGCGATTACCAATCAATTTTCATCTAGAACCACATAATATAATAAAATTCATATAATATATTATTATATACTTGTATGTACATATATGTTTTTAAGGCAATAAAACTGCGGTTTTACCATTTTTTATTAACTGTTCAAAATGCATGATTATATTGTTTTAATATACTTGCATACAATTTATTTATATTTATCTTTCTTTTATTATATTTTGTTAATTTGTATATAAGTATGTACATTCTTTCACCACAATTTTAACTATTCATAAATTTCTCAATGTAACTTTTATATAAATATAGAAATTTTAAGTTTTTATCACACAATTTATAAGAACCAACTTTGTGGTCTATTCAAAGCTCTAAATAAATATTTTAAGTTTTATCATATGCATATGAACTTTGTGCAATACAACGTCATTTGAAAATTAAAATTCCAAATTGAATTGACAGAGTAGGTTTTTTTTATTACTATTATACAATTTAGGTCAAATATGGAATATGATTAAAAAGGAAAATGTGTGGGAATTTAATTCTCTTTTACGATTTTATTGAAATTTTCTCTTAGAATCTTCTCTTAATTAATTAATAAACATAAATATTTACATATTATGTATTTATAAATATTTTTGACAAAAATTGTGAAAGTTTTCAACTTGTTATAGAACCTATTATACAACTTATTATGCAAATTGTTATACAACTGTTATACAAAATTGTTGAATTTATAATGAAAATTTTAAATTTGAAATGTAAAAATTTAAATTTACAAATTGATTTAGGTTTAGGTTGACGAGGCCATCCGAGGATACACTTAGTCCAATTAGGCCCGTTGTGATATCTCTGGATTTCTATATCCACACCCTCTCGAGTTAAATTTACAATTAAAGAATTTTTACAATTAAATTTTTTTTTGTTATTTTATTCATTTTTATTTTTTTTTATTCAAGTTAAATTTTATTTGAACAGATAGCATCTTATGTCAAAATTTAAAAAAAATAGAATGTTTGTCCCTGTTACAAAAATAACTTTGTTTTAAATATATTTCTGCAAAAACATAGAATTTTTAACTCAACTGAGAAACTGTTATATTGACAACTGTATATTGCAAATATTTAAAACAAAAATCGCTCTACGTACATAAGAGACAGAGGAATACAAAAGTAACATTTGAGAATCAAATTAATAAATATTTTTGAATTGACAATCTCTCTTTTACTGTCAAATTTGAGAATCTCTTTTTTAGATTAAACAGCGTTTTTTATGTTTTTTTTTTCATTTACAAATTAAAGTCTTTAAAAAAATTTTTTTGGTTATGTTTAAGAAATCAATTAATTCTTATCGTTTCTGTAAATGTTTGTATTGTATTTATGTATGTAGGTTTATAAATACAGATATTATTTACAGTATTGAATTTTAAATTTATAAAAGAATTCCAAATTGATAGTGGATGTGGTTTAAATTATTTTTAATTTTAAGTGCATCAAACCTAAGAAAGAAGACAATATTTAAATTATTTATGTAAATTTATATATTTAAATATATAATACATATAATTATACATACATGTAGATAATATTATATGTAAATTTTATATCATAATAAATTCTATAAAAAGTAAATTAAAATTAAGACTTTAATGGTATACAAATGAATATCGTGCACGTGAATATGCAAATTGAGTAAATTTTTTATGACGTGACTTTCTACATAAAATATTTAATAATATTCTTGTATATTTATTATGGTTGGACGTTTTGTGAGTAAAATTAATGAAATTCCCAATATTTATTCTATAACAAACTTTAAGTTTCTTCCATTAATCTGAGAAATATGATGCACGTGAACTGTAAATCGTGCTTCATTCAGATGAATTTTTAAAGTTAAATAAAGACTTATAACATCTTAATATTCGACAATTGAGTGGATCAAACAAAAATTTATCGATTATTTGTTATAAATCGCATACAGTATTTTAAATATATTCAACATTTCTTACTAAATAATTTTCATTTTATAAAACTTTATTTTTAATAAATTAATTGCAAATATCTTGGCAAAAATAAAAAGATATTTGTATGTATACAAAACAATGAGAAATTAAATATAAATTTAATTTCTTATATTTCCTAAGCTTGCATTTCATCTGATCGAATATGAGTTTCAGTCTCTAAATCAGATTGTTCAGATTTAGTTTTTTTCTTTTAATCAGCGCATGGTTTCAAGTTCAAAAATTCATTTTTGATTTTTATTTCGATTACCTACAAATATAAGATTGTATTAAAATGGGTAACAATTAATAAATGAATATATTAAGTGCCAAATAATTTATTTATTTTGGAATTTGTCAATCTTATGAAAACATCAAATTAGACCAAATATCCAGTTTCTTATTAAAAAATAAGCGAGAAATCCAAAAATTAATCAGTGAATATTTTTACTCTTATAATTTATTGAATTAAAAAATTTAAAAAAATTCAATTTCAAAATAAATTTGTTTTATTACATTGAGAACTATTTCTGTTCCTGAACTCCTAACATATTAAATTCCGGTCTCTTATATGATTATAATGCGTATACTCTTATATTCTGTAACTCTAAAATTAAATATTTCGACTCTTACTACAACAATTTATTTTACAATTATTGAAGATATACATACATATGTATGTATATATTTATAAATAAAAAATTTTTTTTTGGACCCTATTACATTAAGTTTATTTATTAAATTTAGGTTTCTTATATAATCCATTTTAATTTATAATACTTAATAAATTGGCACAATATATAAAATCAACATAAGACCTCAAATAATAATTATTGCACATTATTAAACGCCTATACAAATAATTCCATTCTAAGTGAGTATATGTATATATATATATATATGTATATATATATACATGTACATAGTACATAATATTTGAAAAATCTAGTAAAAGAGAAAAATACAAAAAAAATTTACCATTAAATAACATTTTTTTCTTAAGCCCCAATCAATGGTGTTCTATAACATATCACATATGTATGTACCTAGACAAAATTATATACACACTATTCTTAAAAGGATTCAGAATTTCATGAGTTTATTTTGTATATTGTATTTAGAGGACCTAATATTTTACCACTTTACCTTTTAGATTTCCATTAAAAATTAGAAATTTTTGTTTTTTTTATTTTTATTTTTCCGATTTGCTTTTCTCTAGTAACAACAATTTTTTTTTCACCATAATACCACATAGGAATAAACTAAATAGATATTAGATCCAAGTAATAATATGGCCATTATTTATAATAAACTATATACTATTTGTTATATTTTATAAAAAACAAAAAAAAAATAATAATAATAAAAATGGCTTAGACTTGGTTCCGTTATAATAAATTTTCCAATTTAAAATCGAAGAAAAATATATATGTGTACCTATATACACACACACTTAAAACTTAAGTGTTAAATCCTTTTTTTTTTTTACGTGCCAATACTAAATCCTTTGAAAGCCTATTTGCAGTATAGAAAAACTTTAATATTTCATTCTATGCTATTGTTTTTCTTCTTCTTCTTCTTCTTCTAACATACCGAGTACAAATTGTTGTCTATATATACTTTTTATCTTTATTTTTTTAGCCCTGGATTTATGCTCTCATACATATGGTGTTATGTGCATATTTTTTTTGCCACCACCATGTTATAAAGATCATTATTTCTTGTTTCTTGTTTCAAGCAAAAAAAAAACAAATGATAATATAATAAAAAAGAACGTATCCTTTGGTAAGGTTTCTTAATTCCTTTTATTATTATTATTTTTATTGTATTGGATAATTGTTCTCTCTGTTATACAGAAATTCATATAGATTTATAGGAAGTAAAGAGACAAAAATGTTCAAATTTAAATTGAAATTTATATATAAATGGGAGGAAAATAAATATTATTAGTACCTTACATAATATAAAAACATACACATATAAAAATAAATTTGTAATATAAAAAAATACAATTTTTTTGCAATTAAATTGCAAAATAAAATTAACTTAAGTGGAAAAAAAGAAAAACAACAAAAATGTTTGAATTTTATTTTCTATTTTAAAGGATTACCATGCAATAAAAAAAAATATTATTTTATTGCAATAAATAAAGAGTTCAAAGTAAATACTGCATTGAATCCTTTTTGATTTATTATCAAAGAAATTTTTATACATTTATATGTGTAATTGGGTTCTTATAGTTATTTAGAAGAAAAAATTTTAATATTTACAATTCGCATTCAAAAATTGTACGCTTACATAAGTAAGAGACTTTTTTAAAGCACAACAAATTAATAGAAAATTTGATTTCTTTATAAATAATTTGATAAGGTTCGAAATTTTCTAAATTGATCTCAATTAATCCAATTATTCATACGAGGTTCCAAAACATATATAAAAAGTTTCACCTCCTATTAAGAAATTTTTGTGTATAAGTAAGCCTATTATAGGCCTCTATCACACAATATTTTTTGTTTGCCCTTATAGTTGCGTTGATCATCTCCAAGTTATATATTTAACAACAGCTAAACTTCTGTACTTAATACCTACAATTCCAACATAGTTATCTTCCAACATTGTGAATGTGTACTGTTTAATATACGAACATACACTCTCTCAGTGCTTTGATTGTAATTTCTCTTCATTTATTTAATTTTATTTAATTTCTCTTTTCTATAATCTAAATTTATAATCGCTGAGAATAAAGATTAAATTTATTATTCAAGAAATTTGCAAATGTTTTTATAATTAAAATATGCAAATATTTTTAAAATAGTTTATTAATTATTTTGCTTTAATTGGAAAATTAGAATACAATTTACTTAACAGGTGTTGATATAATTTAATATTGGAATTTTCTTAAAAACCCTGATCTATTCTATAATTCCGTTAATTAGATATTCTGATCACAATCGATGTTACGATGGAAAAGTGTATTGATCAAAGTTTTCTGGAATTTCGTTGTGTAATCGCAAATTAACTTGATTTCGAAATTTTAAGAATTTTTGATGATTTTGAAATTAATAATGCTGTAAAAATTTTGAAATTACCAATATTCCAAAAATCAGTTTACTATAATTAATAGATTAATCTCATCAAAATATTAAGTATATTATTTTAATGAACATAATATTATTATTTATAATTAATTAATATTAATATAAATCTCTATTTATTTCTACTTTATGAATCACAATTATATACACAATTATTATTATTATAATTACATTCTAATACTGTTGAAGTTGATCACATATTTAGTGGTATAATTTTCAAATTACAATATTTTTAAAACATGACATACATTATATTACTTTACATACCATTATATATACTAATATAAAATAATAATTAGATTATTTATTATGCTTCCTAAGAATTTTTTTTTATTTCTATAATAATTATTGAATCTATAAGTACTAAATAATTTGTAGTAGACCACAAATTACACATTGGTTATATTGAATTCTGTATGAAGATTATTTTAATTTGAATTGATTTAATTTTAAATTTTTGCTGAATATGTATAATAAAATATGGTTTTCTATATATATAGGGGTATATAACAATCGAGTATATAACAATTAATTGTAGGAGTACTTGATTATTAAATACATTAAAATGTAATAAAATTAATTTTTTACTTTAATTCTTCTAGAATTATTTCATATAGTTTGAGCATTTTAGTAAGAATTATTAATCTCATATTAAAAGGCAGACCTTACTACAATCACTTAATATTACAAATGCAGTATATTAATTATAATATTTTTAGGGTGGAAAAATTATTAACATAAAGAATGGATATTAATTTTCTGATCAATTATAACTGGCTTTTATGGACTCATATAAAATTCCCTTTCTTAATATTTTATTACGAGTACAAAGACTATTTTTAGGAGAGTTCACAATATCGCAGCTTCAATAATAGTGTGAAAATATTTCTAATACTCGAATCTACCCAAAAATTAATTATTATTGCGTAAATTTATTGCGCATTTACATTATATCATTAAATTAAGCGAAGTAATCTGAAAATTTTGTAATTTAAAGAATTTTAAAAATCCTTGATTCTTTTATATATTAAAAAATTTTCAAAAATTCACCAAAATTCTTATAATTTGTTTTATAACGTGGTTTAATTTTTAAATAAATTTAAATATTTAATTACGTAATTAAATATTTTTCAACATGGTTGACTGCATATTGGAACTTTTAAGTAATATTCTAAAATTTTGTTTAATATTTAAATATATATGTATGTAGTTCATAATTATGTATAAAAAAATTTCTACCAATTAATCATAAGGTATTTGTATTTAAACAATGGATGAAGGCTTAAAGTATGAATAAATGAAATTGTAGTAAAGTAATTTCCTAAATATTTGCTAAACACTCATATTTCTTTTTCACTAAACAATGAATTTAAATTAATCTTGTATATTTTTACAAAATTAATAAAATGTCAATGTAATTATGACAATAAAGAACGTGATCAGTATTTAAATGTAATGCACATATTTACATATTATTGTTGAATTTTTGAATAGCACCGGAAATGATAATGCATATTTAATTTTTGACTCATTATTCAACTGTGCATCAGATTAAGAGTGTAATGCATAGTCATTTCAACAATACATTTATTGGAAATAAATGTATTGTTTAAATATTATTAAACAGTCTTCCATATAAATTCCTAAAGTAAATTAAATTTTCTATAAACTTTTTAAATAATTTTCGAAAAATTCGGTTGTTAATTCAGAATACCCATATGAAAAATTATGAGAATTTATTTGTAACAGTGGAACATTTGAAATAATTTTTTCAACTTTTGACATCTGCGAGTACCAACTACATATAAGTATATCCAATCGGCGTTTTCACATAGCTATTTAAAAATTGATAAACAAAAGATAATTAATATATACACTATAACAGTATGTGGTGAATTCACATACTAAAATTAACATTATAAATGAATTTTAAATTAGATAATACAAAATTTTATTGAGCAAAACCTAATACTTGTTTTTAATCATTTGGATTAAAAACCAATTATTTAAAATTCACCATCACAAACTCTGAATTGTTTACTCGCAGACAATTAAAATTCTATATTCAACATAGCTTAAATAATAATAATGTTGTGTTTGTATTCAAAACATATGAATTAAAATTATAGCATAGCTTTCTTTAACTTTTTCTTCTCTCCCAAATACTTTTGAGAAATGCTTTCATTCTTCTCTGTTTTTCAGTTAAATTTTGACACTGTAGTGCATCAGTTCAATCGAATTTTTCAAAAATACTCCGTTACGAATTTATTTCTAAAATTATGAATTTAATAATTGTTAGTATAGTTATAGCTTTATTTTTAACTTATATATTTAAGGTAAAAAGACGGCGTGATATAGGAAGAAAAATACAAGGACCACGTTATGTACCACTTATCGGATACGTTCCATTATATTTTGTATCATTTGAAGGTATTTTAATACTAAAATAATTAATTGTGTATGAAATTTACTAAATATTTTTATTTATATTCTATATAGAAACCTTACCACTTTTATGTAGACTACAATCACAATTTGAACGTTTCTTTAAAGTATGGATTGGACCTGAATTTTGGTTTGTTGTTTATGATCCAAAATTAACAGAACATATTTTAACAGATCAAAAATTAAAGAAATCCAATGATTACAAATTTCTTAAACCATGGATTGGAAATGGTTTATTAACAAACGAAGGAAAATCATGGTTTGCTAAAAGAAAAACAATAACACCGGCATTTCATTTTACAATTTTAGAAAGTTTCATTGAGATTTTTAATAATCATTCAGAAATTTTAATGAAGAAATTTGTGACAGATGAAATTATTAATGTTACTCCTCATTTATTATTGTCCGCTTTTAATATTATTTGTGGTGAGTTTTGGATGTCTCTTAAAAAAAAATTTTTTTTTTTTTTGCTCATCCTAATTATATGCAATTTTTATGCACTTGCAATTCTTTCATTAATTATTATAGAAACATCAATGGGAACACAAACCAATACTGAAGAACAATTTACATCCGAATATATAAAAGCTGTACGTGATGTCGCAGAAATTTGTTATAAAAGAATGTTTAATCCTTTATTACAATCAGATTTTATATTTTGGTGTTTGAAGGATTATAAAATTTTTTATAATAGTCTAGATACTATTGATAAAGTAACTCAAGCTGTAATTAATGAACGAAGAGAATATTTTCAAAAAGATAGAGTTGAAACTGAAAATTTTGAAAATCCAATAGAATCTTTTGATACAAATAAAAAGCGGAAAGCATTATTAGATATTCTTTTAACTGCAACAGTTGATGGTAAACCATTAAGTGATGCTGAAATTAAAGATGAAGTTAATACATTTTTATTTGCGGTAATTTTATTAATTAAAATTACAATTAAAATTTAAATAAATATTTTAATTTTCAAGGGTCACGATACAACAGCTTCAACATTAAGTTTTCTACTTTATAATATTGCAAAATATAAAGATGTTCAAGAGAAAATTTATGATGAAATTGAAAAAGAATTATTTGAAAATGGTGTAATAAAAAAACTAACCATTAATAAATTAAATAATTTAACATATTTGGATTTAGTTATAAAAGAATCAATGAGATTTCATGTTACAGTACCATTTATTGGTAGACAAACTGAAGGTGAATATCAATTGGATAATGTTTTATTGCCGGATAATACAAATTTAACACTTTATATGTATGGTATGTGCCACGATCATAATTTATTCCCAGAACCAGAGAAATTTATACCGGAACGTTTTGCAACAAATTATACTACCAAAGAATTTAATCCATTTTCTTATATACCATTTTCAGCTGGTCACAGAAATTGTATTGGACAAAAATTTGCTCTTTTAGAAATGAAAACAATAGTAGTGAAAATTTTAGAAAAATTTGAAATTTCTTTAGCATATCCAAATAAAGAATTGATTTTAATAGCTGGTATGATTTTGAAAGCTAAAGATGGCATAAATTTAAAATTTAAATTAAGAAATTAAAATAATTTTTTAATTCAAATATGTTATTTATTTTATAATAAAATAAAAAAAAAATTTTGCTTAAACAACTTTACAAGCAATTTTGTTTAGTAAAAACAATTCCAAATTGATTCTGCAATAAATGAAAAATTTTTCATGTACAACTATAAGATAATTTTAAATATATTGTTATTAACCAGATATAATCCTATATATACTTGTATATTATGTACGTACAGATATTTCTAAACCAGATCGCAGCAAAATTAGTAAAAAGATTTATTGAAATGAAAATATTTAAAAAAAATTTAAATTGAAAAATTTCTAAACTATATATTTTTTTTTTATCCTTCAGTTACTATCATTGACTCACATCAATTCAGTAATTGACATCATTTATAACTATATATATATGAACTAAATAAAATTGTACACCTTTAAGGTATAAATTTCAATTTAGATAATTAATTTCGTGGATATTGGTGTTCTCTCAATCCTATTCAATTCAATTGTATAAGTATATGGGGCACAATAATAAAACTTATAACTGGTATACCTTACTTATACATACCATAATTATACCCGTACGAACGTATGTTCGAAGGGTATACTAAATTTGCCTTACCGTTTGTAACGCTAAGAAATAACGGTGTTAGATATAGACTCAAGTGTATGTTTTTGATCAGCGTCAAATTCTGAGTTGATTTAGCTTTGTCTGTCCGTCCGTCCGTCCGTCCGTCCGTCCGAACGATAACTCAAAAACTAATTGAGCTAAGTTCACCAAATTTTCACAGATGATTTATTGTAGTAATTGCCAGAACCCTATTTAAATTGGACGCGATCGGGGTACCGGTTCGGGTAGCTGCCATACAACTTCAAAAGTTATTTGGCTATATCTCAGAAACTATAAAAGCTATGGTATTGAAATTTCACACAAATGAATATATTGGTAGGGCCAATGTGTCTCATAAAAGTCGTTGAAATTATTTGGCTCCTTCTGGTACCTGCCATACAACTTCAAAAGTTATTTGGCTATATCTCAGAAACTATAAAAGCTGTGATATTGAGATTTCACACAAGTGAATATATTAATAGGGCCGATGTGCTTGATAAAATTCGCTAAAATTTCTTAGCTCTTTCTCGTAGCTGCCATACAACTTCAATAGTAGTTTGGCACAACCGGAATTTGGAAAAACACATAGTACTGAAATTTTGCATAAATTAATATGGTAATACGGTAACTTTAAGTCATAGTCTGCTCCATATTTAGTTATGGCACATTAGTTATTCGCACATAGGATAACAAATTCGTACGGGTATCACAGAGTTGACAAGGTCAACTCTATTTTTTTCTCGTTTTTCAATATTATTAAATATTGTTATATACATTACATATTAAAATATCATTTAAAATTAATATAACCATTTTAACTGACTGATGAAGTTGTGTAGACCTTATATAAAATTGCAATTAAAATTTATTTCCTTTCTTTATGTTTATTGAACCACGATATTTCTGTATAACAATTTTATATTAATATACGTGTTATACTATATATGTATATATATACAATATAACATTGCAATAATCAGAGAATCGGTTTTTATTAAATACAACAGAAAAATGCAATTCATCAATAAATTTTCTTTCAACTATAAAATTTATTATAAATAAATTTGCGCCAGGTTAACTATTTCACTTATATACAGGGTGAAAACTATAGGTATGTTATGTATAATAATGAATCTAAGATATTTATGATACATTAAACAGAACAAGTGCAACAACACAAGAATAACAAATTGATATGCGTAAATTGCATTGTGGCAGCTTCATTCACCTGCTATCTGTCACAAAATTTAAAGCATTTATGTACAAATTATGTAACGTATAAAGTATTTTAGTTTTGTAAGCTTTGAGCAATGTTTTCACAAATCTGTTATTTTTGGAGAGTCAATATGTTCTCTTAAAACTCGCTCCGGAACAAAATTTTACTCATTTTTTATCCTCTAGTTAGCCAATGGCACATATATATTATTGTATATACCTTTCTGAATCACCCTGTACATATTTCACCTAACACATTTATATATGTATGCACATAGAGAATAATGTTAAATTGAATTTGAAAACATAATTTGAAATTGAAATATTGACTTTAGGAAATGTACATATGCTAGTTAGATCATATTGCGAATTTAATTATGAATAGTTCGAACTTAGTTTAAATTTTTAAATTTAATAATTTAAAATAATATTATTTAAATATTAAAATGATGAATGAGTCAGTTAAATTGTAACAACGCTGAGAGCTTAAAATTTTTAACGCAATTATACGAAATTGTCCCGTGTGATATTTTTTCAATTATATAAAACATTAGGAAAATGTTCAATCGATTTAAGTAAAATCTTTAATGAAAACGAAACATTCGTCGATTACATTACAAATTTTATTTAATAATTAATTTAAATTTATTTTACAGCAACCATGGTTGTTCTTTTGTTTTAACAAATATTCCATTGGTTTTATATATTGATTTGCTTTTTTTCTGTGTAAGACTCACAAATTTTGAATTCTAATAATTACAAATTTGACCCTTTCGTGTAACTCTATTATCGCGCTAAAGGACAGAATGCAATATTCTGAAATAGAAAAAGCGATAGGAGCAATACAGAATCGATTAAATACGATGGGGTACAAGCGGATTCCTAGGGCCAACATAATACGACCAGTCTCCCCATATAATTCAAGACATTACTACAATTTCAATTCCACAACGCCAGCTTAAAATAGTGCAAGTCGATTATATATACAAGTTGGAAATGGTTTTGAAAACACACACTAAGTCACAGTGTTGTGACACTAGACACGCTTCAAACGAAAGGGCGATTAAATCAAGATCAAGTATAATGTATAAAATAAAGCAATATGTGAGTTCAACAAACAAACATCACGGCTTTATACCGGATGTTCAACCTTATAAGTATGTTATATATTATTGTAATATATGTATACTAAATTACTCACTATAATTTGGAAAACAACGCCGTCTGCTGGGTACTACTCACACAAATCTTTTATTAACATATTATATATAATGTTGCTATAAATGTTTATCTGTCTTACAACAGTTTTGAATATTATAAATAGAGATTTAATAGTCTAAAATCAAAAATTATTTTTATATTTCTGTATATACATATATATATATATATATGTATATTATATAATATATTGTATATATATTTATGTATATATAATAAAATTAATTTATCACATTAATACCCTCAATTTATTTTAATTAAAATTCAATTTTAAAATAATTTTTTATTTTTGTATAATATTTTCATTTTGTATTTTTACTTTATTTTCATAATAAAATTATTGTAAAATTTAATTTACAATATTATATAATAGAAAATATAACATAAATTATTAAAGTATATTATATTGAAACAAATATTTTTGCATATTTATGGGCATATATATACATAGTTAATTTAATTAACATTCATATATGATCCAAAAAAATTACAATATATTCATATATGTATAATAATTTCAATCCTATTCAAGAGGCAAAATAAATTTTCATAATATTTTGTACAGTTACCTAACATAGGTAACACACATAACATAAATCTTATAAGAAAAACATTTTTAAGGTCCTTTTATAGTTCTTAATTTTCACACATTTCTCTTAAAATAATATCCGCAATATTACAATATAATTCAGGGGTACATAAATATAGGTGTTATATAATATGAAAATACTTGCATATACCATATACATATACCATCATATATTCACATCAACTCCCAAATATGTATATGTAACGTACCTACTTATATGCACACATGATAGTAGCTTACGTAGCTTATTTACCAACATACTCTTGATACCAAAAATATTATAAAAAGGTTAAGTAATTAATTATACGTTCCTTTCTTTTTCTTTCTTTTTTTTTCTGTTATACCTTGGTCTTTTTTTATTATTATTGTTTTTTGTTCTTTTAACTTTTATCCTATTAAGCTGTACAGGTATTTATAACTTTTATATTATTAAATATATATGTATGTATGTATGTATAACGGTATGGTTTTCATGTTGAATACTAAAATATTTTTTCTCGTTTATTTCCCAAATTGAATTGTAGCCTAATTTTAACATAAATGATAAAGAATAGCATATTTATTATGTAAAAATATATATACATATATATATTAATATGTATTATAATTACACATGTATTAGGAAATAAAGAGAAACTAAAAATCTAATGTATAAAGTAATTTTAACATATAAAACTCTTTAATAGAAAAACTAAAAATACTATATGTAAATTATGGATGTTATAATATGTAGAGTTTTCAAGATCTAACATTTAGTATATTACATAATAATATATAGAAATATAACAGTTACAATTACATATATATATGTACATATATATAACCTAATAAATAAGAATAATGAGTTTACATAAACTTAAGAGTTTGATTTTAATTTTTGTTTAAAAGAATAGCACATACTACATTAAAATTTATACCTACATGGTGCTATACATAGAGAGTCTGTAACAAAATTTTTAAGATTAAGAAGCCCTCTAAAATCAAAATTTTATTTTATAGTAAAACAAAATATAATATGATTATTTGACTTTTAAGGAATCTTTTGTTCTAACATTTCAGAAAACGATTTAAGAGCGATGTTGTCAAAGAGTTGGTAATTAAAAATATTTCTTGATTAATTTTTGGAACTCTTGTGTAATATTATGAATTTTGATTCTGCAACATTTTTTGTTCTGTTATCTAATTTAATGTAATTTCTTGGAGTAAATTCGGCACTCAGTAAAAAAATTTTAAAGTGAAATATTTTTATAATTTTATTGCTAGCGCTAGCGTTGATAAATAACAGTTATTATGCCAATTATTCTAACACACAAATTCGAAATTACAATAATTTTTATATGTTTCAATTGATGAGAGATACTGAAATTTGAAAAATTAAATTTCGAATTTTCATTAATTTAGTTAATAAGAAAAATTAAGGAATATTTTAGTCAAAAAGGACCAGTCTTTACGATATTGTCGTAATTAGTTTACGACATTCTGGTATTGCATTCATTTTCAATATTAATTATTATTTTCCAATATAATAGATAAATATTTAATTCTTTATCAATAATTTTCTTGAATCAATTTAAATTTTAAAATTTTCATCTATTTCTTGGTCAAATTTTTATGGTTCTTCTTATAGAAATTTTATAAATTCAATATTCTT